CCCTTCCCTTAGAGCCCACCATGTAGACTGGGTTCTTCTCACATTCTCCTCCCTCGGCCCAATCGGAACAATTCGAGTTCTCATCCACACAGCCATTGACTCTTGATATTTCGCCAAAAGACCTCACGTGAATCCACTTTGTTGCGGACCATTTCTCGCCCTTCAATACCGGACAACTTCCATGCACACTCAATGGGTCGGTTGTCGCGTTTGGATGCAGACTGAAAAACAACAAAGCATCACCTTTCCCGGGTTTCACTGTAGGTGGTAAATTGGAAAACAAAACACAAAAGGTAGAAGAAATAAGATTACAAAGTAAAATAGAAAACTTAAAAGGAACAGGGGAATAGAAAAATCAGATGCCTGCATAGCCCTGTTTAGCACAATCAGACCAGTCATCACCCTTAGGCTGCCTATCTTTTGCCTGTGTGATTAAGAAGAAAAGGTGAGAAAATTAAGAAGCAAATTCGTGGACATTAAACGTTGCCGCTTACCTCCGACTTAGGGAAAACTGTCTCGCCACCTTTCTCCACGTTCGACAAGTACATAAGAACAGTAGCCACCCGGTGACCCCCTAATTTTAAGTTGTTCTCGTCATGAAAAAAATCGAAATGGGGTTCGTACTTTTGGCCGAGCTCGTAACGTAGAATCTGCATAGCCTCCCCATTCTCTAGATATAATAGATTCAACAACAATGATAAGAAGTTCATGACGAAAATGATAATCAACTGAGCGTAATTGGGCAGTACAAAAATACCTTGTGGGAGAAAAGTCCATGCAGCAATCTTCGTCTCAATGCGAGAAACAATTTCATCCTTCAATGAAACGTTGTTTATTAAGAAGATTCTAAAAAGTTAATGCACAGCAAACAGTATGTATTTTAATGTTGTTTTATGTGTAAGATAAGAAAAAAAGAGAGAGATCAACTCGAACAAAATTTTCGCAGTTTTTCATCTTAAATGGAGGGTATATTTGTTAGGCAAAATGTAGCAATGTCAATGTATTGAAATTGGCATAATATTATATGAGAGGTTTGCTAACCTGAGACAGCTGAAGGAACATGCTTGAACTTGTGCGGACTTGACTTTCGACGCTCTTGCCATTTTCATCGGCAACCATGGATTTCTCGAGCTTATCTTTAGCCTACACTTTCAGGAATTTCATCATATGCATACCATATAAATGAGATTCTAATTCATTTAAAAGATTAATTCAGTATCTATGCAAAGTACTTATAATTTCTCTCTCGCAATGCTGCCGTAAATATACAAGGAAAACGAAATGCAGGGATTTGTATAAAGGGAAAATTAATATGCTCACGAGAGAAACGAGATGATCACATTCTTTATCAGACAAAAATCCCACGTACAAAAACGCCCTGTAAAAAAATAAATAAATAAAAAACCATTATTGTTGTTTGGGATCCAAACAATAGAAGGGAAAAGGAAAAAGAAAAAGAACCTCGGGCTCGTAGAGATTTGGGTGACACGGGTCGGGTCAAGCGCAGGCGTTTGAATTCCACTTTCCGATTTTAACAGCGACTTTCTTCTGATTAAAATCCGTAAAAAGTAACAATGACGACAACAACAACAACAACAACAACAACAACGACAAGTATAATAATAAAAGTAAATGATCTGAAATGAAAATGACAATAAATCTGTTTCTCACAAATAAGCATAGCATACCCACGAATGGATGGAACACCAAAACACAGGAATAAATAAAGCACAAATCTTGGGTCCATTAAATTTGGAAAGAAGGAAACTCTGTCACAAAATTGTTTGTTCGGTCCACAAATAAGAAAAACGACATCTTTACAGGGTTTTCGTTGCTCGGTATATTGATGCAATTTGAGCAAAATGAGCTGGATTGTGTGTTACACGAATGAGCAAAAATATAAGAATTTTTTTTTATCAAAATTTATGTTTTTTGAAAAGATTACATGACTAAAAATGTAAGAGAAAGGTTATTCATTTTAATTTCTAATGCTTTTTGAAAATTTACATTCTTATATATATTTGAAATGAGATTTCACTAGTATGATTTAGCGTTCTTAGATTACCACAATTTTCACATATAGTGAAAGATATTTATCTTGGCATTAGTTCGAAGGTTCGAACAAGCACCTGGAACTACAGAAACAGGGAAGATCTTTGCTTATTTGTTTCCTTAATTACGATTATTTTATATTCCATAAATAAGATATTATGGATCTTATTATGGTACTTTGTTTTGTAGGAAATCGGATGAGATAAGGAAGGGAGAGGCATGTATGATAAAGAGATCAAGGAGTGAGAGAAGAAGATTCACTTACCAAATTCTCATGCTATAATCAAGGAAGGAAATCAAGGTTGGAGTCCTATGCCTTGTAGAAGACTCCAACCCTAAGGAGATTCTTTTAAATACCCGTATGCAAGCTCCTATTGCGGCTGCTGAGTTTCGAAGTTATTTAGAGCAATATTTGAGCTTCGTATTTTCTGTTAAGTTGAGTTGTACACAGTTTAGTCTGAGAGTTCGAACTAACTCAAGGACTGAAGCTGTTTTATTTTGTTCTTTGTGTTTCATCCAAAAACTATTTTACAGCTTATACACTTAGGGAGTAAGTGTAGGTTATTAAAGTCCACGGGACGTGGCCGGAGAATTAGTTGATAGGATCTGTGTAGTGTTGGCTAGGCTTGAAGGGAGTTTGAGTCGTTGTAAGTCCAAGCTATGTGTATGTTTGATCTATCAATGAAAGAGCTCTGAGGGGAAGTGGGACGCTTCCCTGAAGAGTTTTAAAATCTTCGGTTTATTGCTTCCGCATTACTCAGTTCTTATTTTCAGTTCGCACCACCATTAAGCGCACTCCGTAATAAGTATACGTTTCAATTGGCACCAGAGTAGTGTTCCTGTTCTAATTACGGGATAAAGATCCTTGGGACTGTGTATCGGGCACCA